GTTGAACTTTTTGAGGAACTGCCAAACTGTCTTCCACAGTGGCTGCACCATTTTACATTCCCACCAGCAATATAAGAGTGTTGAGATTTCTCCTCATCAATACTTATTTTCTATTAAGAGCTATCCTAGTAGGTGCAAAGTGGTATTTCATTCTGGTTTTGATTTGTACTTCCCTAATGACTAGTGATGGGAGTCTCTGGGTGGGGCAAATGGTTAACACCTCAGTTGCTAACTGAAAGGCTGGATGTTCAAGTCCACCCAGAGATGCCTTGGAAGAAAGGTCTGGCAATCTACTTCTGAAAAATCAGCCACTGAAAACCCTGTGGAGTACAGTTCTCTCACATGTATGGGGTCATCATGAGTTGAAGTCCACCTGACAGCAACTGGTTTTAATTAGTGACACTGAGCATTTTCCCATGTGCTTATTGGTCATTTATATATCTTCTGTAGAGAAATCTCTATTCACGTCCTTTGCCCATTTTTTAATTGTTGTTGAGTTTTCGGAGTTCTTTATATATTCTGGACATTTAACCCTTGGATCTGATAGTTCCCCAAAACTATCATATAGTTTCTCACTCTGTAGACTGTCTTTTCACTTTCTTGATGTCTGTTTATGCACAGAGTTTTTAATTTTGATGAAATCTAGTTTATCCTTTTCTTTTCTCTTGTTGCTCATGCTTTTGGTATCATATCTAAGAATCCACTGCCTAAAAAAAGGTCCTAAAGCTTCACCCCTATGTTTTCTTCTAAGAGTTTTATGGTTTTAGTGCTTATAGTTAGTTCATTGATCCATTTGGAATTAATTTTTGTATGTGGTGTGAAGTATGGGTCCAACTTCATTCTTCTGCATGTGGAGATCCAGTTGTCTCAGCACCATCTGTTGAAGATGTATGACTGACTTCTGGTTTCTCAATTCCATTCGATTGATCTATATGTCTCTCCTTATACCAGTACTACAGTTTTTGATTAGTAGCTTTGTAATACATATCAGAATCAGGAGGTGTGAATCAGTCTATTTTTTTTTTTCAAGATTATTTTGGCTATTTGAGGCCCTTGGCAATTCCATATAAATCTGAGGATCATCTTTTCCATTTCTGACAAAAAGGCTGCTGGAATTTTAATAGTAATTGCACTGTTATCTATAAATTGCTTTGGGTAGAAGTGACATCTTAACACTTCCAATTAAGTCTTCCAATCTACAAACATGAGATGTCTTCCCATTTACTTAGATCTTTAATTTCTTTCAGTAGTGTTTTGTAGTTTTCAGTGTAAAAGGTCTTCCACCTCCTTGGTAAATTTACTCCTAGGTATTCTACTTTTTCAGGTGCTACAGTAAATGAAATGGTTTTCTTAATTTCCTTTTCAGATTTGTCACTGCTGATATACGGAAATATAACTGATTTCTGGGTGTTGACTTTGTGCCCTGCAACTTTGCTGAATTTATTTACTAGCTCTCATAGCTGCCTGTAGATTCTTCGGGATTTTCTAAATATAGTATAACATCATCTGTGAATACAGTGTTACTTCTTTTCCAATTTGGATGCCTTTGATAATTCTTTTTCTTGCCTAATTACTCTGGCTACGGCTTCCAGAACAATGTTCAATAGGAGTGTTGAAAGTAGGTATCCTTGTCTTGTTCCTGATCTCAAGGGGCAAGTTTTCAGTCTTTCTCCATTGAGTATGTTTTGCTGTGGTTTTTTCATAGACACCCTTTATCATATTGAGGAATTTCCTTTCTATTCCTGGTTTGCTGTTTTTCTCATGATTTGGGTGTAGGGTTTAGTCAAATGCCTTTTCTGCATCAACTGAGATGATCATGTGGGTTTTTTTTCCTTCATTCAATTAATGTGGTGTATTACACTGACTCATTTTCTTATGGTGAAGCACGTTTGTATTATTGGGATAAACCCCACTTGATCATGATGCTATTGAATTTGGTTGGCTAGTATTTTGTTGATAATTTTTCCATCTACATTCGTAAGAAATACTGGTCTGTAGTTTTCTCTTTGTGTGATATCTTTATCTGACTTTGGTATCAGGGTAATGCTGGCTTCAAAGAATGAGTAAGGAAGTGTTCCCTCCTCCTTTACTTTTTTTGAGGATTATGGGAAGAATTGGTGCTAATTATTTAAATGTTTAGTAGAATTCATCAGTGAAGATATCTGGTCCTGGACTTTTCTCTGTTGGGAGGTTTTTAATTACTGTTTCAAACTCCTCACTTGTTACAGGTCTGTTGAATTTTTTTATTTTTTCTTGAGTGAATTTATGCAGTGTGAAGTGACAGTAGCAGCATCAGAACTTGTTTAACTTCATGGGGGATAATGAGAATCAAGATCAGCCCAAAGCTAATTCCTATGAGGTGGAGGTCAGACATACCTCCTCCACTCTCCAACCTTTTTACCATTCTGACACCATCTGTTCATTCCTCCCACGGCACTCTCTACTTCTCTTCAGTGTTCGATAATCTATTGCAATGGCCACAGAGAACTCACAGATCATACTTACAGTTAAGCAGTTTATTAAGGAAGCTACAAGGTACAACTCGGGATCAGGATCAACAGGCTACAACTCTGGATCAGAAACAAGAAGCATGTAAAGTCTGGAAGGCTCCCCCAGACAGCATATCCCTTCCTTCTTCAGTGCAGGATAACTCTCTCAACTCCTTTCAGCTATGCAAGCAAGCAAGCCCTTCTCTGAGTGCACACCCCCTCTCGGCTGTGCAGGCCTCCTCTTGGCCCCTGAGGACAGGCCACTCTGCATTCATTATCCCTTCTGTCACCACCAACTGCCAAAGGGCCCCTTCTGGGCCTGTCGCTGCCAGCTCTGCAGCAGGGCCCGTTCCGGGCCTGTTGCCACCATGTGCCGCAGAGCCTCTTCCAGGCCTCTCACTGTCTTCAGTGTTAAAGCCTTTGACCTGTTACAGCTCTTTTAGATGGTTCCTCCCCTCCTCTCTCTCTCTTTGCTTTCTTTTCTTGCCTTTTTCCTTTCTTCTGTCTGCCAACCTCTGTGGGGTTGGCTGCGTATACATAAGCAAACTCATCAATTTCAAGGCATGGCCCTCCCACCAGGGTCACAAACTGACCAATCCCTTCTCAGCAGGCTACAGACACTTCATTTGCATAGAAGGCTATAGTTACTTCGTTTACATAAACCCCTTGTTGTGGAGTCAACTCTGACTCATAGTGACCCTATAGGACAGAGTAGAAGTGTGCCATAGGGTTTCCAAGGCTATAATCTTTACAGAAGTAGACTGCCACATGTTTCTTCTGCAGAGTGGCCAGTGGGTTGGAATCGCTCATCTTTCAGTTAGCAGCTGAGCATTTAACCGCTGTGCCACCAGGTCTCCTTCATTTGCATAGGGTATTGACCAATCCCTGCAAGGTGCATACCAGTCACAGGGCAGGCTACAGCCCAGTGGCAGACAAAAAGTATCAAACCATCAAGTTGTTTCCAGCTTACCCAGGAAATGTCAATCAACCTGGACAGAAGTAACAGACTTTCTAGGGTAGAAAATCAGGGCAAAGGGAACTCCTTAGGGTTTAGGGAAAAATCTTCCAAGCTGTTTTTTCAAAGAACTAAGGCAAAAGGTGACATAAAGGAATTCATTTCACCACAGGTAGTTTGTATGTTTCTAGGAATTTATCCATTTCATCTGGGTTATACAGTTTGTTGACACAGTCTGTACACAGTAATCTCATACTCCTCTCAATTTCTGTAAGGCCATGAGCAGTACTTTTTTTTTTTTAAATAAGAGTGGATACAGAATGGCACTACTGAATACTAAGTACTTGTATTAGATTAAAAAAAATTAAAACTCGATTAAAGATGATGTTGACAGTATTAAAGAATCATTCTGTTTCTGAGAGAATATCAAGCTAAATAAATTGGACTTTCTCCTGATCCATTAACTCACAGCAGCCCTTCTGATGCATTATTTATCTACAAAGAAAATTTATAGGCAACACTCTGACTTTCCTTTCAGCTCAATTTTAAACTGCACAAGGATACACAATTACAAAAACCACTTTTATGGGCAAAGGTTACCATAAAAACTATCCTCTATTGTTCTAGGATTAAAATTCCCATATGAGCCTTATTTCTTTAAAAACCATAAAATCCTAAATTGCTATGTACAGCCAAGTATTAAGACCAAGATCATGGTCAGGTAATTCAACTTGCTCACAGAGCTTTCAAATTAAACAGCTCTTCACACTGGCATACTATTCTATAAATGACCAGCTAAACAAATCAACACAGGATGTAGCCAAGGACTCCTCCTTGCAGATACTGGAGAGGTTACTTTCAAACAGCAGCGTCTTCCCAGAATTAGTTCAGCAGTCAAAGGTTTCTTTCCCAGACACCAGCATACCGGAATACAAAGGACAGCTGAATATTTTAAGCCAGGGGCTGGCAAACTTTGCCTGTAAAGGGTTTGGTGTTAGGTGCCATCAAGTTGAATTCGTCTCATTGCGACCCCATGTGACAGAGTAGAACTGCCCCATAGAGGTTTCTAGGCTATAATCTTTATAGGAGCAGATCATCAGGTCTTTGTCCCACGGAGCCGGTGGGTAGGTATGAACCACCAACCTTTCTGTTAGCAGCAGAGTGCATAACCGTTGGGCCAACAGGGCTCCTCTGTAAAAGGCTAGAGAGTAAGTATTTCAGGTTTTGTGGGCCATATGGTCTTTGCTGCAACTATTCAACTTTGCCTTTGTAGCATGAAAGCAACCATAGTCAATATGTAGACAAACAAGCATGGCCATGCTCTAACAAAACTTTATTTATGGATGCAGACATTTGAATTTCATATAATTTTCACATGTCATAAAGACTATTCTTGAGTTTTTCAAATATTAAAAAAATTTAAAAACCATTCTCAGCTCATAGGCTGTACAAAAATGAATACTCCCTGCAAATCAAAGCCTCCATGAACACACAATCGCTATTTATACGCAAAAGGAAAAGCTTCTGTTTATAAATAACTTGAGAACAATACTTACTGTTTTCTATGGTTGGATCATAGGAATCAACAAATTGGCCTTCAACAAATTGAATTGTCAATGAGGATTTCCCTACAAAAGAGAACAATAGCTCAGTATGTATTGGTATGCTACGGTAAAAAATTGTAATTGTACTGTTTTACAGAAAACCACTCAATCAGATAAAAAAACTGAAGGTTTTAGGATTAGAAAAAAATTCCTTCAATTAGCATTTGAACAGTTTCAATAAACAAATTTCACTAATTTGCTTTACATGGAAGGAATATAAGCAGCTACGCTGCCATGAATTGAACACTTCTATGGCATTAACAAATATTAATGACCAACAAGCACATCAGATATTCTGTTAGAGGTAAACAAACGTTTAAATAAGACCTAAACTAAGATAATTTCCTCTAGTGCTCTTGAAATCTGCCTATTTAAATGTGGAAATTAATCAAAACGATTAGTTACTTTGTCCTTTTTTACATACGGTTATTAGAAGTATTAAGAGGTGCAGCTTTTAAAGAGGATAACCTGAAAATATGCAACAAAAGCTTAAAAAAAAAAAAAAACTGTTTTAAGGTAGAAATCTTGCCTCAATCATTCAGGATTAAATGCCTAGTCCTGCCTGGTATATCCAGTTGCCACAGACTTGACTCTGACTCATGGTGACCCCATGTGTGTCGAAGCAGAACTGTGCTCCATAGGGTTTTCAATGGTTCACTTCGGAGGCACCTCTGGGTGAACTCAAACATACAACCTTTCAGTTAGCAGATGAGTGTATAAACCATTTGCACTACCCAGGAACCCCTGCCTGGTATATAGACGACGTACATGTTTTGAAATTCACAAAATCACCAGTAATAATTCAACCTGTATATTAACAAATCAATTAAGTTCACAACCCTATTACTGTTACCTAAAATCTGTACTGGAGGACTTCAGAACAGGACTGATACTCTGTAACAAGAGCACAGTCCAGATTATTTTATCACCAGGAAACAGAAAGTAGTTCCTCCCTAATTTTATTCCCAAACCCTTCCTTCTCGCTTATATTCTCGGAGCGTTATTAAACCTGCACTTTATATGCTTACCATACACCACTTAACTTCTATCTCAAAAGGATCTACAACCAGGATAAGAAAAGAAGTATGGTTTTATATCCTCACACACATTTTAAGTTGTGCTTTCTCCTCGTCCACACCATGGAGAGGCACAGTTCACAATGTTTTCACACCCAAAGACTTTCCACATATACAAAGGAAAAAACAAACAAAAATCTAACTTAAAAATCAGAGATGCCGGGAAACAAGTAGGAAATCCAAAAGTTGGCAAGCCTATTTATTTCTCATCAATCTGCTTCTGAAAAATCAGCCATTGAAGGCACAGCCATGAAGCACATTTCTACTCTGACACATAATGGGACTGCCACGAGTCTGGATGGGCTTGACTTTTTTAAAAATAAGTTAACAAAAGTGAAAAATTAAAAGATTCTTATTTACATTGAATGCTATTCCTTGAAGCAAAAAAAGTTTAATTACAAACAGAGATAGAAACTTCTTCAGGGCTTTTGAAGGGTACTTCTAGTCAACTGGGTGGAATTTTGACGTAATTTTTTATAATGTACTTTTTCATTGATACAGGTTAGGTACCCACAGCATCCTTATCACATCCGATAGTGTTTTTGGTTTGTTCGTTTCGGTGGTAGTCTTACAAATGGAAAAGAGGGAAGAAAACAGGAGATCATTTTTTTCTCTAAAGATAAATGTGCAAGAGTTACAAAGAAAAAAAGAAGGGATTAAAAAGACAAATATTTTTGAAGTAGAACTGGATTAGAAATAGTGAAAGGAGTTAATATATGTGATGTGAGATGCTCCCTCAAAGAGGAGAAAAACTAGTAGGAAACATCAGATTAGACCATTTCTGTACTGGCATCCAGGTAAATCTAGAACAACCTTACTTGTAGGGGTGAGTGAGGGGAATTACTGCCTCAATAGTTATATAAAACTCAGGAAGTTACAATGAAACAGAAAAATTATACATATTGAACAAGATAGTATGAGATACAGTACAAAAATGTAGTGACAGGTAACAAGTGGATCATGTTTTTAAAATACAATTTTTGTTACATATCCATAGAATTCTTCCCATTTGTATTACACAGGACATCTGACAAGCTACAGTTAACATTAACTTGAAAACGTAAGTAATCACTCTGGCAAAAAGAGACAATGTAGTCTAACCAAATCACAATGCAGGCTGACAGCAAATTGTTCTCTTCAGGAGTAAACTTGGATACCAGAATTAAAAACCGTAATCCTTAGAGATTAAGCTGAGTTTCTCAATCAGATTGGTCCCTGGGAGAAAGATATCAGTCATTAGGGGAAGCAGGATTGAAAAAAAGCTAGGTCTCCCTTGAGTCTCTCTCCTCCCTTGCCACTCCCCTAAGGGGAGATCATTAAATATTGAAATTAAGCAGGGACAGGAAGGCTACATTTGCTGGCATGACAGCTGTTTTCTGCTGTTTATATCACAAGGTAAATTATTAGACAACTAGTGTTGACGTCTTTAGAAGTCAGCATGAAATGATAATCTTAGTAAATAAATCCTACTGCTCATTTTGAAGTGTTCTAAGCTCTAGTTATAGAAACGTCTGCCTTTAAGAGATGTCCTTTAAAGACGCAACTCAGCTCTTTCGGTAAAGTTTTGCTTAGTTTGCCTGCAGCTGCAAAAAGGTACTGTTAGTCTATAGCCAATTATGTTCTTCACACGATCATCTTTTATATTTTTTCTCTCATAATAACTTCATACTTAACTTTTGCTTTTGTCCTTATCAAATTTCAGGTTCTGAAACACTAAGCAGTTATTCCTGAAAATATTTCAGCCACGACCATGTTCTCAAAAGGCTTATAAATTTGTACAACCTCAGGAGAATTTCAAACCCCAGATCAACTCTTTGAACAAACATGATACAGGAGTGATCTGAAATAAACTAAAAAGCAGCACACACCCAGACCTGTGTTTAGCAACATACAGACTATCAACAACCCATTTTATGATGTAACACATAATTTTAAAAGGTTTGAAAATATCCCAATACCCTGCAACTTCCAAATACTCTTCATCCAAACAAAAAACCACCTTAGTTTTTACTAAAATTATTACTAAAAAGGTTCTTCTAAATTTTACCAGGTAAAGGTAACATTTTTTTTCAAAGATAAAATGGCACTATCAGCACCCGCCCCCCAGTATTTCTACTACTGAAAATACATTTTCAAGGTTGTTGACCGAGGTGCAAACTACTGCCTAAATCTCAAACTTTGCGATTACTGCAAAATGGGCAGTTTACACAACATATTTTAATAGTTTTCAGATTTTGAACTTGTTTTCATGCTTTTTCTCCTACAAAAAACATAGCTAATTGTAAACATCCCTCCCCCCAAACAGCATTCTCTAGAACAGTTTACATGTTACTTGATCACTGGGATATAATGGGGAGGAGCAGGTTTTCAATTTACCAACTAGCCTATCAAGTAATTCAGCAGAAGAGGGGAGTCCGTAAGAACTCATGTAACATACTTTGAACACACCAATAGCAAAGAGCAATCACTAGAAAAGAACATCATGTTTGGTAAAGTAGGGGGTCAGCGAAGGTGAGGGAACTCCTCAATGAGATGGACTGATACAAAAGCTACAACAATGAGCTCAAACATCAAATATCACGAAGATGGTGCAGGACAAGACAATGTTTCGTTCTCTTATACATGGACCATCATGAGTCACAGCAACTCAACAGCAGCTAACAATAACAAATCTAGGACATAACCCATTCTGAGCACTACTTTGATCTTCAGTTCAAATTCTCAGCATCACTTTTAGGGACTTTGATGCCCATGTATATAAGATGTCTAACAGCTTAACCTCAACGCCCATAGTTCTTGCCACCAATAATCTTCACCTCCACACCACTGCAGTCATCACACAATGAAAAGATAATTACCACCCAGAACTGCTCCATATCTAAGATCTTTATCCCCAACATTTTCTAGCTGCCCTCTAGTCGATTCTGACTCATGGTAACCCCATGTGTTATGAGTAGAATTGTGCTTTATAGGGTTTTCACAGCTGTGACCATTCAGAAGCAGATTGTCAGGCCTTTCTTCCAAGACATCTCTGGGTAGGTTCAAACTGCCAACCCTTTAGTAGCCAAGTGCTTAACTGACTGTGCCACCCAGGGACTCCTCCTCAACACAGAGGACCATGCGCTCTCTCAGCTCTTTCACTTTCAAACTCCCACCACCAAAACCAGACTATCTTCAGAGAAATGTTTTTCAAACCAGGGGTTGTGATCCAGTAAGTCATGCCCAGCTAAAAAGCTAAAAAAGAAATAGGAACACCAGAGTGGACTGCAAATAATAATAATAAACTCTCTCTTGTGAAACTCTTTTTTTAGTTACACATTTACAACTAGGTCACAATGTAAGATGTATTTCTTCTTATAGACTACAGTAAAATAAAGCTGGAAATATACTACTCTAAACTATTACCCTGAATCTCTAATCCATCAGGTTTTACTTTGTTTTCTATTCAGCGTTAAGTCCCAAATCACTTTCCACTACTCTTTTGTTAGTATCCAATTTCCTTTCTCTTGGGTCCTTTGATAAACCCTACAATCTTAATCTTATCATTTGCCTTTTGTGAGCCTGTTGGGTTCAGCTGCAGAAAAATTTCACAACCATGTGGGCTGGGGACCATGACCAAGTTGTGGTCTTTCCTGCGCTCCTTTACCTCCTACAGCAGTTCTCAAAGTGCATTAAAGTACTGAATGCAAAAGCATCAGCATCATAAGGTGCCTTGTAACAGATGCAAATTCTTGAGCCCCAGCCCCTACTGAACAGGGAAACTCTGTGGTGGGACCCTGCAACCTGTGCTTTAACAAGCCCTCCAGGTGAAGGCACACTCAAGGCAAAGTAAGCACACTCAAGCTTAAGAACCACTGCCCTAAGGCAACATTTTCAAACTTAAAACTGCTGTCCTTAAATCATCTATCTCATCCATCCTCTACTGTTCCCAATCTTCCTGTTCCCTCC